GATAAGTGTAAAAATGAAGATCATTTTGTTTGAAATGTCTAGTTCTACAGTATTCCTCCCCACTCCTGAGTTCCATTAGCTTTGCATTTCAATCACATCACAGCAGAGGCACATCAGCAAGAAGAGATCATCTTATTCCTGTGTGCTTGACTCTCTTACAAGGCATGACAGAACAATCCTCATCAATACTTGAAAGCAAGCGAGGACGACTGGATTTAGTCATAAACCTACCACCCTAGAATTCAAAAATATTTTTGCCTGCTAGGAAGAATGCTCGGCAAAATCCTCCAATATGACAGCACCACCCTTTCCACAAGCAGCTTTCCACTGAAAAAATAGCAAGGAATTACCCAAACTGAAAAGCAACTTTCACCTCCTGTGTTATTTAGGAGGTCACAGCAGACAACCAAATGGTCCCTTCAGATCTGAAAATCTAAATTAATAGTACTCCTTTAGACCTGAACTAACATTACAGCTGCCTCCATTCACACACGACTAAATGCAGACTGAACAGAAAGGAAATTAAGCAGCAGAATGTCTCCTACCTTGTTTCTTCCAGTTTTGCAACGTTTGCTGCAAAAAAATTCCAGATATCAATTACAAATTTAATATACATTCATTTTGTTATTGTCTATATAGCGCTAGGGATGTAAAGGTTTAACCAGTAATCATTGCCTTACTGGTATGCTTACCAGCATAACTGCTTCACTGGCATATGGGTCGGCTACGGCATGCATTCCCACCCCTCATGCAGCAGGCGGTTACCCGGTTAAACCTACAGTTTAACTGGTTAACAATTTACACAGGATTTTACATCCCGATATACCACCACAAATATCCATGACACTCATATGTATGAAGCATGAAAAACACATTTTTAATCTGGAGATTAGGATTGATGAAGGGATCTGAAAACATACATGAAACATTCCAGGGATAAGCAATCATGAGGAGAGACAAAGGAGATACACCACGGCAAGAACTAGCTGCATTTAGGTCACAGGGTGGGACAATGGCAGGGAAGCAAG